TTCTCCTTTGAACTGGTTGTGATATCTTACTGGCTTCCTCGTAAACTAATGAGTTAAATAATAAAACTTTTGACATATGTTCATTTTATGACAATCATGATTTCACTCTTTAAAAAGAATGATCAGTTAATGACCATCACAATTCCTTCTTACACATTGGAAAACTAGGGTAAAGGGTAGAGTTGCTCCATCCCCAGGACATCATCAGGGTGCTGGTGAGGAACAAATAGTGATCCGGAGGAGGGGAAATATCGTAAGACTCCATCTGGGGTACAGTGGAGGTCCAGCTTCTATTTCCCCCAAGCAGGGGGAGTCCGTCCTCAGGTAGACCTTAGTATGGGTCGTCAGATTTCTGGGCTATGGGAGATTCGGTAGATGTGTCGAGGATGGACACTGTGTTGAGGAGAAAGGAGTAAATTAATACTTTTAATGGGTAGGAAAATCTCAACCAGGGTTCAGAAAAGTTCTCCATTGTAAAAGGACGTTGGGATATCCATCAAATTTTTGACTGCCCTCAGAAGCATGGTTGTGTGTCTCCTTATATGCATAGCACAATGAAGCATTAATGATATGTAGAATAGGTGGTCAATATTAGTAGGACAGCGGTTTGTTTCTTATGGATGATCCATTTAGAAAAATATGAGGATCCAGCTTTTCTCAGGATGGAGGCAAAAAGTGTCTCAATGACTCACAAAGAGCAGTAACAATATGGTGGCCACCTTTCAGGAAGCAGAGAATTAGCAAAGGGAGGAGGGAGGTGGACAGAAGAAAGTGACTCTGGGAGCCCAGGGTAACCCAATGTGATCAGGCTTCAGTATGTCAGTGGTTTTCTTGGTGGTAAACTGTGAACAATTCCAGATGTGGCAGGTGCTGATGAAAGGGGGTAGATGTAAGGAAGACCTTGTAGGAGAAGGAGATGCAGAGACAGGCAATCCATGTTGGAGTGTCCAAAGCATAAACCATGTGGGAGCGGCCAAAGCAGAGCTTGAGGAAAATGTATAGTACTACGCATAGATGTTACAAAATAAGAAAGAAGCTGAAAAGTGAATAGCAACAAGAAAAGAAATCCAAAGAAGGAAGAAAACAAAAAAGATAAGTAGAATTAATAAACTAGTAAACAAAAAAACCAACTTGATTTTTAAAAAAAGTGAAAAAGTCAAACTTGTAGCAAACCCAATAGCAGAAAAACATAATATTAGAAATGAGAAACTGACATCACTGCAGAAAAGCAGGATATTATGTACAAGTCAAGCTAGTGTATTTGAAAAAGTGACTTTCTAGGAAATTGAAAATGATCAAATTTCAAATTTATTCCCATTTAAAAATCCAGAAATAAACCCCTAAAATGTGTAAGGCCTATATGAAAAAAATTGTAAATCTTTATTAAAAGATACAACATCGTGGTTACTTGTTGGAGAAATATAGCATGGTCTTAATGGCAAGGCTCAACATCATAAGGATTTTACTATCTGCCAAACTGATCTATAAATTCAGGACATTCCTAATTGAATCAGGAGGATTTATGGGCAAAATAGTTACAAATTTCCCCTGAAAGAGGAAGCACAGAATGGTCATGAATGCTGACACAACAAAAAGAACAATGTGGGTGAGGGGAGATCTCTCACGGTTGCCATCCTGTACCAAACTCTGCCATAGAGCCAGAGTAATTCAGTGTGCCACAGACGCAGAGCACTAATTTGGACAATTTGATAAAAAATGTTGGAACACTAAACTATTTGGTAAAAGGTAAAATTAGGCCCTTAGCTCATGCCAGAAACAGAAATAAAGAGCTAATCTCAAGATCTCACAAAAGTATCAGAAGAAAACACTTTTATTTTAAAAAATAATCTTGAGCATGGGAAGGACTTCCAAGGCAAAATACAAAACCCAGAGCCCCAAAGGAAAAGACTTGTAGCTTTGACTGCATAAGAAGTAACAAATGTGGTTAGGACAAATGACACTGTAAACAGTTAAAAGACAATTGGTGGACAGGGAGAAAATTATTGGTATCTGGAAAATATAAAGAGCTCCTAAAAATCAATAAAAAACCACAAATAGATATAAGCAAGATATCTATGAGAGAATAAATACAAATGGCGAATAAACAGATGGGAAGATGCTTTGCCCTGCTAGTAGTCAGGTGAGTATGAATTACAACTCCAGCTCAGACTCTGTGGGCAAGGAGGCAGAGGAGCAGGCGTCCACATTGTTGAGGAGAATATCAATTGCAAGTCTTTTGAAGGGCAAATTATCGCAATTAAGTTCCTTTGATCTAAGGATTCTAAACCTAGGAGTTTGTCTAAAGAAATACTTGCATGTGTACACAAATCTATGTACAAAGATGTTCATTGCAGCATTATTTATAATTTAAAAAATGAGGACAAACATGAATGCCCACCGAGATGGAGTGGGGTGCAGACAGTGACGGGGTTGGGGAAAGGGGGCATTTCATGTTTCATTCCTTCTTCTCCTCTTAAAAAATCTTTTAAACAAGGGGCTGGCCCCGTGGCCGAGTGGTTGAGTTCGCGCGCTCTGCTGCAGGCGGCCCAGTGTTTCGTTGGTTCGAATCCTGGGCGCGGACATGGCACTGCTCGTTGAACCACGCTGAGGCAGTGTCCCACATGCCACAACTAAAAGGACCCACAACAAGGAATATACAACTATGTACCAGGGGGCCTTGGGGAGAAAAAGGAAAAAAAAAAAAAAATCTTAAAAAAAAAAATCTTTTAAACAAGAATGTAAACATATTTACTTGTTTAGGTTAAAAAAAAAAGAAAGAAAAAAGAATGTAAAGAATTACACCAACATATATAAAAAATTATCTGTGGGGGCCGGCCCGGTGGTGCAGCAGTTAAGTGTGCACGTTCTGCTTCGGTGGCCCAGGGTTTGCCGGTTCGGATCCCAGGTGTGGATATGGCACCGCTTGGCAAGCCTTGCTGTGGTAGGCGTCCCACATATAAAGTAGAGGAAGATGGGCACGGATGTTAGCTCAGGGCCAGTCTTCCTCAGCAAAAAGAGGAGGATGGGCAGTAGTTACCTCAGGGCTAATCTTCCTCAAAATAAAAAAGTTTGGATGGTGGCGTTTTAGATGTGTAATTTTTTATATTATTCAGATGATCTATAATAAGCAAGTATTATTTTTATAATCAGGAAGGGACTGAAAATCAGCATATAAAATCTTGGATA